TAGATTAAGCTGGGTATCATCTGCATAGTGATGACACTGTATGCTATGCCTTGCCTTCCAAGGGAAGCATGTATAATGTGAATAGAATTCATCCCAGTACAGAGCCCTGTGGAACTCCATAATTAGAAAAATTGCAGAAGGAGCACAGTTTAACCCTAAAGGAGTGGCTAGAGGAACAAAACAAAGAGCTTAATCTTTGTGGAGCCGAGAGGAGCCGCAAATTAAGCTCAGGGTCATCACTAAATGCCCATTCAGATCTTTATTTAACTCATTCAGCTATAATAAAGCAAGTCCCGACTGCATATTAGTTTGTGTTTTTCCCAGGAGGCAGGTTTAAACATCTTGAATAATAACTGCAGACTTGAAATTACACCCTAACACAAAACCGTTTATCTGCATGAGCTATCTATTTAACTACATTATCAGCAGTCACTTCCAAATATAGGTCACCACAGGCTAACTGAAATGATGATTATCATTTGGTATCACAAAAGCAAGACAAAATAAATTAGAAAAAATTGTTTTTTTGCAGCACATGCTGCAGATAAGCTTTGTGCATGGGGGAAAAAACTGTCTGTGGAGTTTCCCCTTTTGAGTTTTACAGTAAACTGTGAATCAGCAGCTGATTCTATCAAACAATGTCCTGCCAGTTACATGCCTGGGTTTTAAGTTCACTACTTACAAATAATTTCTCAAATTATTTATTGTTCTGCTTTTTTATATTACCATTTAGTTTCAAATCTACTAGTAATCTACTCGATTACATTGAGAGTTCTTGCTTTAACTTCCATTAAAAACTTCATAGCAGGCAATTCGGGAAAAAAAATGTAAATGTCTTTTTAAAAATCCCCATCAAAAGTTTAAAACACGTGCTGGGACATTCTGGGAAATTTTTACTTAAAAAATATCAAAGGCGTCAACTTTCTCTCAGCTTAATAAATATTTTCACTAGTTCTGTCATGGAAATTGTACCACACCTTTCAGGTTTCAGTGCAGGTTGCACAGTCGGGCAAAGAAGGAAGTAGAGAAACAAAACAAAGCACGTGAATTCCCAGTGTTGTACCTGTGATGGGAACATCCGGCCTGGGCTGCTCCTTCCTCCATGAGGGAACAAACACAGTGATTTCAGTGTGGCCTCTGTCCAGGAAGAAGTTCACAGCCAACTGGATTCCCAGACAAGAGAAAACTTCCTTGTTGCCATGGCTAAATGAAAACCAGGAAAAATGAATAAGAAACCAGAACACATGCCCACACATGCCCACACCCTAACAGCTGGAGGGAAACGTCCCTGACCCACTTTAGAACAAGGGTTATGGTGTTTATAATGGCACTCTTTGATGTTCACTCGGCATCATAGCTCTTATCAGTGCACCTTATTTACATTGATGTTAAAGATTACAATAGAACAAAGCTCTTTGTCTCCAACAGGTTGACCATGATTTAGGCACGAGTGCGTGGACTATTCTTACTAACCACTTTAGGCGCACCTGTTCAACTGCTCCCTAACGCAAATATCTAATGAATGGAAGTAACTCAATACTTTTAGGCATGTACACATGATCAAGATGACTTGCTATAGTTAAAAATAAGTATTTAAAATGAAGAAGAAGGTGATTTAAGTGACCTGGTTGGCCACGTTTCAGTATCAGCTGTTGATCTACTGAAACCAATCATCTCTAGAGTTTACAGAGAATGGTCTAAAAAGAGAAACTATCCAGAAAGTAGCCGCCCTCCTCACTTGAACTCACCAAAATCGGTCAATAAAAGACTAGAAACACAAAGCCTGCTTTGATGAGTCTCAGTGTCAGAATTTGACATGAACAACATGAAAGCATGGAATTGTCCTTCCATTAATCAACAGTTGAGGGTGGTGATGGTGGTGTAGTGATGTGGGGAATATTTCCGCTTAGTACCAATTTAGCATCATTTAAGCACGTTCATCTCTTTGTGAACACGATGTTCCCATCGTCTGAAAACACTCCATGTCACAAACCTCAAATCATTTAAAACTCAATCTAGTCGAGCACCTTTGGGATGTGGTGGAACAGGAGATGGACGTCATGGATGTGCAGTAACAATGTGATGCTATCATGTCAATACAACCCAAAACCCAAAAGGTTTGCTTAAAAAAGTGGTCAGTGACACACTGACATCTGATCCATAACTAGTTCCACAGTGCAAAAAAAGCTGTCATTGGAACAGTACCATGAAAGAAAAATCGATGCTTATATATCCCTTTCATAATCTAGATGTGGTTCCACTTTATTTGATTTGTGGTAGTACCGATACAGGAAACAATGACCATGGAAAGAACTACCTTAAGAAATTCACGAATGATAGACGGATTGATTCTGCCCACTATGATTTTCCTTCAAAACTACCCCATCATCTGTTATATCACAAGTATTTTTCCTCTATTCTGCAGAAATGTGAACTGGCTTGGAAAAAGCATGAGGCAGAATTGGCTCCGTGCCAGCATTGGCACCGAGTTGGCGGTAACGAGATAAATGACTGAATCATTAGTGTTAGTGATTATGCGAGGGATTTCCCCAAGAATGATTTTTATCTGTTATGAGTTGCCCTACTTGACTATGACTTCTAAGACTGCTGTGAAGAAACTGTACTAACCACTGAGTACTCTTCACATTTATTTCACGTGTTGTATTTTAAAAAGAAAAATGTGTTGCAAAAAATCGTTACGTCACTAATAACAAAAACCAAAAACAGGGACTCAAAGACTGAATGTTCTATAAACCACTCTGCATAACAGTCGAAATAAAGCAAAGCATCATAGTTCAGTTTCAGCCAAGCTTCAGCTGTTGAACAGATTGCCTCACATTTGTCTCTAGAAGACTCTGCAAACTGCCCAAATCAAGCCCAAATCATCACCCCTCCTGTGCCTATCAGCACAAAGTGTTGATAGCCAACGTCTTGTTTTGGCCAAGTTTGATTTTGACCAATTAGTCTTGAGTTTGTTTGCAAACTCAAGCCCTGTAACCATACTTTTTATTTGTTTGTTTTTTAGAGAAGGAATAGTCTTTGTTTTGGCAACCCTTCTTCTAATTGTACTATGATGAACGTAATGACAGTTTCATGACAGTTACCGATGCCTGTACAAGACCTCCGTTAATGTGGCACCATTTAGTAATTGATGCCTGTAGAAAGTAGCAGTTTCTATCAGGTGAATTTTCTGGGACGTCCACTCTTGGGTAGATTGTGGTATTGTGTTGACACAACTGAATGTTTCAGGCAAGCAAACTGCAAAAACTTTTATAGAGGTGATCTGTAGTAAGGGTGTACTTAGTTTTTCACAGGACGGCACAGAGTCATATGAAAAACTTGCTTTTCTTTTGACTTAGTTTGTTTCTAGCTGGCTCTTATCATCCACTTTCTCATTATCTAAGGTTAAAGGTAAGTTATTATCCAGCAGTTTTATAAAATTTTCACTTATTTAAATATTTACAACACTCAAAGAAAAGCTTAAAAAACTGTAAAGCTAAAAGCGAGACTTTATTTGAAAGGTAAAAATTTGCCTTTTAAAAAAACAACACCCTGCCCTAACCCATGACAGGTTTTTAGTGGCTTGATGGATGTTCACAGCTATTAAAAAAATAACATCTGGCAATCGTGTGGCTTAAACAAAGTTGGTTGTTTTGCTCAGCGACAGCTTCGCAACACTTCTATCAT